AAGTGGAAGGGGCCCGGACTCAAACAAATTTTTTTCGGCGCTTCGGGCCTCATTTTGGTCTAAAAATAAGGGGGGGGGGTTGCCGGCCCCCTCCCCTGGATCCCCCACTGTATTTACATGGAGGTTTGGGACCCAAGGTAACCCGCCCGTCCATAATATCTCTCATTTTAATTTGATCACGTTTATATGGTTGGTGAGGTGTCCATATGAGAGATTATATGGACGGGCGGGTTACCTCACCTTCCTGGGGTCCCCCACCTCCATGTAAACAGGCTCTTAATATTCCGTCTACTTTTAGTATTTGTAACGATAGTTTTGGAAATCATTTGTAAATGAAAAACAGCCAATGAGTCATCTTAGTCTCGTCTGGTTGCCACTCTAACCCAATTTTTTGGGCATCCATCTAGGAGTTCCAACTGTATTGAAATTCTGTACTTCACCAGATCATCACTTGTGATTGCTTCTCAACAGAACAGGCTATTTCGAATGGTCGCTAGTTTAATTTTCCACTCTAGGGATTTTTAAACATACATATACGTTTATTTATTTATTTGTTTATTTCAGTATTTATTTTTTCGGGGGTGGGGGTGGGGGGTCAATATTACAATATAACAAATTAAATAAATAATCACAAAAAAATACAAGAAAAAAGAGTCAGAAATGTTGCGATTTATGACTATATATAATTAATAATCTATCTTGTTGTTAATTAGGTCTCAAATAGGCACACTTTTTTCACAGTTTCACCAAATCGTACAGAAAATTAAAAAAATATACACAATATGACTATCTTAAGTTATGGAGCAACATGACCGAACCATTGTTGTTAGATTTTTAACTGGAACGAAATATGGTTAACATGCGTGTTTTAAGGCTAAGTTCACACAGTACTAGATGAATTTTCGACCGGTTGAAAATTCATATGTTTATGTGTCGCGTTCACACGTAACCAGGCTTAACCGTTCTTAACCGTGCGAAGATGTTCAAAAATTTTAAATGCAA